ATGACAAGCATCATTTGCAGTCGCAAATCCCTTGCTGATCATGCGTAGCATCCCCCAAAGTTGTATCTGAAGAGCCAGGGTATGGGACGCGCGAGAGAAGATGGCGCTGTTCAAGAGTATCGGTAGTCTTTGTGTCCATATTGACTGATCCGTGCGAGCAAACACGGGCGCGCGTGTAGTAGTGTTTGCAGCTTCTTCTTCAATGAGGATTGTGCAGACCGCTCAAAGCGAAATGAAATGCAAAGACACTCGCGACTGAAAACACCATGCATGCAGCAATGGACAATGTGTCACCCCATCAACACTACACACCGTCGTGGCCAGATCAAGCCGCTTTCTTGTAACGAACGGGTTTCGCGCCGCCTGATTACTGCTGCTCTTCATCATATACGTCGTCGGTGGAATGTCCGTCTCTGCTACATCTTGTGCTGGGGACGACCTCGGTGGGCAAGTCAAAAGAGGGCCACATGGAGCATGGAACAGTCAAGTCGGAGGAAACTGCCTCGATCTACCATCACAAGCCACACTACTACGTCTACGCGAACAACATCAACACACTGCGCCAAGTGGCCAGTCATTGCGCTGCGTTGTGTTTTTTCAAATCTCAACGCCAATCGTATGGGCCAGTCCGATCCTTTCTGCTGCACGCCTGACCTCACATGGGCATCCCATTTACGCGACGCTCGTGCTGTGAGACCTGACCGCATCGTCGTCGGAATCGTCTTCCTGCAGCGCAGATCCGCCTTTTTGATCAGCTTGCAAATTGAGGCCCTTGATAGCCTCTTCGTCCGTCGCTGGAGCTCGCATTGTCGAGCCTTGACGAACGACGGGGATAGCTGCGATGAGTCTCATTCTAGGTTTCCAGAACAGCGGCATGCCTGGCCCAACTCCCAGCAGAGCAGCTTGAGAGCGTCGCTGTTCGAATGGATCTGCGCTGAGCACATCCTTGACGATCGTGTCTTGTGATACGCGGAAGTTGAAATCAGCATGCGGGCGCTTATGTGTGGCTTTCCCCGCCCAAAGTTTGCCGTTCGTGCGCCTCACTCACTGATCATTCTTTGGATCCTTTGCATACGGATACGTTGCAGCATCTGCCCCACGCAGGCACAAAGCTGCTGCTCCATCCTGCTCAACGTGTTCATGCGAACGGTGATAGAGATAGATATGGGTGCGGCAAACACGCTCGTCGAGAGGCAAACAAGTGCCAAGGAAAGCACGAGGAGAGTCTTGAGAAATTTCATCTTTTTTCCTCGAAAGCAAGCTACGGATTTTTCCTTTTTTCGAGATTGTGCTAGTTGGTCGTTTAGGCGGTACGAGTGTTGATGGTCGACACGGAGCTATGTTCGCAGCGTCGAGTTGTGCCAGTTGCCTCGCAGAGGACACGTAGTGGTCTTGTACTTTTGTCTGTGTGCGGTGGAGCTGAAGATGGACAAAGCTATCGGTGGGAAGCTTTTTATGGGGCAATGACGCTCCCCTTCTTGCCACCCATTCCACACCATTGCCGTACCTACTATGGTACGCCTAGGCCGTAAGAGGCTCGCGCCACCGTGCGCATCTCGCGCTACGGGCGGCAGCGGCAGCGGCGGCGCAGCACCGCACCAGCTTTGTTGAGCCCAGCAGAGTCAAGCATTCAGCTGGCTGCGCCCAAGGCGAGCGCCCACGCCACCAGCAAGTCCTCCCAACGATGGGCCAAGCGCAAGCTCGCAAGCGTTTAAAAAGGCACCATTTGCTTTGTAATGAAAACGAGTGGGCAAAAGATCATTATTATTGCATTCTTAGCCAATACGTGCTCTGAGCGCATTCAAATTCGTTGCGCGGGGGGTTTTTTTTTTT